CCTTTTCAAATTTCAAGCACCACAGACCTTTCCCTACACCTAATCATTTCACACAGCACTTGTTTTCAATACACTTTAAGTTCTCTACGGAGTACTTAAAGTCTTATAGAGTTCTAGACACAAAAATGTTACTAACAGTTGTGATTTAGTTCTAACAGTTAATTTGTACATTTGACAATTTATTTTCGACTGTTAAAATATTTAACTACTTGTAAGTAAAAACTATGTTGATAATTTCAAATCGTGACAAATTTTATTAAATATAATACTCCGTAATATTTATTAAAGTGGAAGATGGTTTCTCCGTATTATTTTGATAGAAACAAAATCATTATCAATCATGTAAACATTTTGAAAGGGTGTGAGGTAAGCATCCCAAACTTACATATGTAATATACTCTGTATATATCATGAATTCTACATAAAAAAGTTAGCATCATTACTATATACTCAGTATTTCTTTACTAAAAAATGTAATCTTATGGCGTTAAGCACATGAATTAAAATACATAAACATTTATAGAAGTGTATTAAAGCTAAGAATCATAAGAATGTTTTTACTTGGACTGAAATTTGATAGTCTGGTCTGTTTAAGTCTGATCTGGTCTGGTCTGAACTGGTCTGGTATTGTCTGAATTGGTTTGGTATGGTATGGTAAATGGCTGGTCTCTGTGTATTTTGTAACTATGGAAGTCTGGTCTGGTTTGATCTCAACTGATATGGTCTGACCTGGTCTGATTAAGTCTAATCTGCTCTGATCTGGCTTGGTCTCGTCTGTAATAATGTATTATTGTGGGTTTATTCTGTAATTTCCTAAACACTTGCTTTATTATAAATACATGCTCAAGGTTTCATTCACCCTTCGTTTGCTAATCATGTGTACACCTTCGTAAGGCATTGTATGGTCTTAAACAGGCACCTCAGGCCTGGTTTCATCGTTTCAGTGGGTTCTTATTGAGTCATGGTTTCTGTCAAAGTAAATAAGATTCCTCCATGTTTGTCTACCGTTCTCGGTCTCAGACAGTTTATATTCTTCTTTATGTGGATGATATTCTACTTATTGGTTCCTCTTTTTCGTTTGTTCGCTCCATCATTAATACTTTATCTCGTCAATTTGCTAGGAAGAATTTGAGGAATATTCATTATTTTTTGGGTATTCAGGCTCATCGTAACTCTCAAGGATTATTTATTTCTCAGGAAAAATACATCACTGATTTATTACGCCATTTTCATCTACATACTGTTAAGCCTGTGCGCACACCCCCACCTTCTCATATTACACTTTCTCTTACAGATGAGGAGCTTTTATCTGATGGTACTGAGTATCACAGCATGATAGGTGCTCTTCAGTATTTGACTCTCACATAGACCTGATATTACTTATATTGTTCACCTAGTTTCTCTGTTTATGCATGTTCACATTTACTGCGGTCAGACATGAATATCTTTGTTATTGTGGCTTATTCAGATGCTAATTGGGCTGGATGTCCTGATAGTTCCCGGCCCACCCCCGGTTATGCAGTTTTCTTGGCACGAATCTTATTTCTTGGCGGTCCTAGAAGCAACCGACGATCTCAAAGTCCTTCACCGAATCTGAATACAGAGCCATCGCTTGCACCGTTCAGGATACCTAATTTATTCGGTCTCTTCTTATGGATATGGGGATCTTGATTTCAACTCCAGTTCAACTACATTGTGACAATGTCTCTGCATCCTATCTAGCCGTCAATCCTATCCAACATGACCACAGCAAACACATAAAGATTGACTACCATTTTGTTCGCAAACAAGTGGCTCATGGAGATCTCACGGTTAAATATATTCCCACACAATTCCAGCTTTTTGATATTTTTACTAAGAATTTATCTAGTCAGCGTTTTGAGCTTTTACGTTCCAATCTGCGCGTTGTACCCCTGCACAGATTGAGTGAGTGTAATAATGTATTATTGCTGGTTTTATTTTGTAATTTCCTAAACACTTGTTTTATTATAAATACATGCTTAGGGCTCCCAATAAGGCAAGCCATTATTCTCTCAAATAATATTTCTGTATAGTCTGATCTAGGATTGAAAACAGTCCAAGTAAAAACATCCTAAACTTACATTGTGAAAAGAAAAAAACATTTTTCATGATACTAAGAGTATAAATATAACACAAGAAAGTTTAGGGTGCTTACATCACATCTCTTCAAAGTTTAAGGTATTTAAATTATTTTATCTTTCATTCAATCCCGAATTGAATTTTAAACCAATTTTTTATCTGGTTAATTGGTAACAGCGTATTGCTTCTCATCAGCAGGTCACCGACTCAGCAGAAGAACAATCAAGTAATATCATAATCCTACTACAACAACAGAAGAACAATCAAGTTATATCATAGCCTTACGCCCCTACTAAAGAATCTTCGACGAGGCTAGGCCAACTGATGAGAAGCAATCCATTGTACCAATTAAACCATAAATACTCTTTCCCTCCCACACAATCATAAAACAAAGACTCAAGTTGATAATACTACACCCCTTCCATAAATTTTGACCAATGGGTTTTATAATAATTGAAAAATTATGAAAAAAATCTTTTCTAACCTACTTTCATAAGAGTATTAAAGTTGTAAGTTTCATACAAATATAATAACTAAAATCATTCTATAAACTTTATTATCATTAATCAAGAAAAGTCGAATTGGTTAAGTTTTATCGGATAGAGAGAGTATGACTGTGTATTATACAATTGAGTGGACAAAAGATACTTTGCTAGCTTAGTATACAGGTAGCTTATGAAAAGCCTTCTCGGATTGTCTCATCTCCCAAGTGATTATAGAAAACGAACACTTCTCTAGAGAGCTTCATAATGTTATAGAATATTACACACTCTTCTACAAATTGCTAGACTGTTCGTCATTTCTCTAGAGAGATAAACAACATTCTAAAAGATTTTATAAATCTCTTCACACACATAATTAGAGAACCCTAGAATTCCCCATAGAATTTTATAAAACATTCTAGATTTCTCTTAAAATTCTCAATTAAAGAGGGATACCGAAACATATAGAATGATATATACCCCTCCCTTTATCCTATAATAATGTTCTTCTTAATTGCCTTTTTGAAATGCTCCAAAACTTCTGTTTTGTTTCCTTATAAGAGCCCGTTTGGTGACTCTTTTTTCCGACTTATTAGCCTTATCAACCAATTTTTTTTATAATAAAAAACCCAACTTTTGATTTCACAAGTTGAATTATGTATTTATCATAATAAGTAAGGCTGGAGTTACTTTTCTGGTTGAATTGGATGAAGTTATTCTAGAGGATCATTTAGCTATTTTTATACCTATTTTCTTTATTTTATTAATAAAATTTATCATAAATACGTAGTATTTTTTCAGAGTTCAGTAGATTAAGAAGTTGTTCTCTTCACCTGATCTGAATGTTTCTGATCTGAATTTTTTAAGTTCTGATCTGATCTGAATTTTTCTGATCTGAATCATTCTGATCTGATCTGAATCTTTCTGATCTTATCTGATCTGATCTGATCTGAATCTTTCTGATCTGAATCCTTCTGATCTGATCTAAATCTATCTGATCTGATCTGATTTGAATATTTCTATAATTATTATAATAATTATAATTATTATAATTATAATTTTAATTATAATACAATTTAAATATAATTATAATTATAAAACAATTATAATTAAAAAAATTATAACTAAAATTAAATTAAAATTATAATAATTAAACCTATTACACTAATTATAATTATAGCTATAATTATTATTGTAATTACAGATATAATTACAATTATAATTATAGCTATTATTATAATTAGTGTATTAGGTAGAATTTTAATAATAATAATAATAATAACAACAACAGAAGAACAAAAACAACAACAATAATAAGAAATAATTACATAAATATGACCAAAATAAAGATGGTTTACAAAAATATGATTCATTACTAGAGTAGTAATGAAATCTTAGTAATTCATGTTCAAGTTTTGAACTTTAGTTACAACAGTACTACGTTGTAGTAATGAATAGTCATACTTATGTAAATAAGTTTTATTTTAGTAATATTCTCGTAAAAAAAAACCCAATAATAACCATAATCATAATATTCATAATAATCATAATTAGAATTATGATTATAATTATAAATATAATTATGATTATAATTATAATGATGATTATAATTATAATAATCATTATAATAATGATCATAATTATAATTATAATTATAATTATGATCATAATTATAATTATAATTGTGATCATAATTATAATTAGCTATAATTTTAATTAGTGTATTAGGTATAACCGTATAATTATAATAATATTAAAAATAATAATTATAATTGTAATTGTAATAATAATAATAATAATAATAATAATAATAAAAGTGATTAATCATGTGTGAACTTTTCTGATCTAGTCTGATTTGATCTGAATCTTTCTGATCTGATTTGAATGCTTCTGATCTGATTTGAATCTTTGTGATCTGAATTTTTCTGATCTGATCTGATCTGAATAAAATAAGAATAAGCAATAAGTATTAAGAATAAGAAGAACAGAACAGCTTCTAAGTCACTTTATATGCTTCGTCTATAACTTCATCAATTTCAACTGAATAAGCCGATTAAGCAAACTTTAGTGTTATCAAACGAGCCCTAAGGAATACTCATGTAGTCTAATAGTCTTTCACTTTTTTCACCTCAACCACAATAATACATTTTTAGTTTTTTATTTATAAGTGTGTCAATTTAAAGTTAACTCAAGACGGAGTATATATTACCGAACGATCAATTTTTCATGACTGAATAAAGAAACTTATAACAATTAATGTTTTCATCACAATCCCTATTTCATTTTAAAATCCTACAAATATAAATTACAATGATTATGATTACCCTCAATTTTCCACTTATCCCTAGAATTTTCCAACAACAAAAAACTCTGAAAAGTCAGAAACAAAATTACTCCGTAAAAGAATTGAAGCATAACACAGTGGAGAGACCCTTCTGCAAGAAAATGCAGCCGCTGAGGCTATAAATACATACTAGCTAGTATTATCAGTTTATCACAAGCTGAGGCTATAAATGCATATTATTGCAAGTGAATCTTTTCCTTCATTCTGTGGGTATATTTTTTTTATAAAGACAATAAAGATTGGTAGAGGTAGAAAAATAAAAGTTACGTTTTTGGGTGGGTTCGAGAGGCACCAAGAATGGGAAGGGGTAGGGTTGAGCTGAAGAGAATAGAGAACAAGATCAATAGGCAAGTGACTTTTGCTAAGAGAAGGAATGGTCTGCTGAAAAAAGCTTATGAACTCTCTGTTCTTTGTGATGCTGAGGTTGCTCTCATCATCTTCTCCAATAGGGGAAAGCTCTACGAGTTCTGCAGTAGCTCTAGGTATATAAAGTTATAAACTTGAGAGAAAATGAAAATTATACAGATTTTTTTTCTTGTAAAAAGCAAGTTAATTTATTAACAAAGATTTCATCTTTAAGGAAATAAAGGATACCCCTTTTCTTGGAATGTTTGTTCTTTTATTATGTATCACTAAATTGTTTGTTAATTACCAATTATTAGTATTTCCCTTTTGTTTAGAGATCCAAATGACTAAGGAATGTAAAGGGAAAGTGTTATGTTTTTTGGTGTAGTAGATTTGCCATTTTTGTGATTGGTTTTGTGTGTATAGAACTTTGTGCTTGAAGGGCTTGTTAGATCTGCAAGAGGAAACCATGAAAAGAAGATAATTTAAAAATAAGAAAAAATATTTTCTATTTATGCTGAGTTTTTCTCTCTTCTTGTGATGCCCTCTTGTCTTCTTCTCTTCTTCTTCCCACCATAAGTCTTCATCTTTTCTACTCTTTCTTCTTTTGCACTTCACATGACAATTTTGAAGTGTACTTTTTCTTGTATTTCAGATGTATATAAACACCCACACACAAATATTTCTTCATCTATAATTCCGTATTACATTTTCCATTTCCTCATGTAAGATTATCATTACCCTTCAGCTAAAGATTGGATCTTGAAGATGATATTTGGTAAATCTTTCAGTAATTTCATTCATAAGAGTCTTCAGTTATTTTATGGTTCACTGTTAGTAACTTGGTTATGGTTATGCTAGCTAGGGTTTCAATTTCAACTCTCTCTTTTGAAAACCTATTTTTTAGTGGCTATGTGATAAACAAAAGCCTTAAAGATGAAGCCGTGTCTTCTAAATCACAATATTATTGTTCCATTTTAAAGTTAATCTTCCACTCAAAACCTTTTAATTTCACCACCCCTCTTAATTAATTTACAAAAAGTTAGATTACCAAAAAAAACTAAGCTTCTGTGAAATTTAAGTGTTTGGAGGCTGGATTATATATTTAAAGGTCTGCACTTAACAGTGTATTTAATTCTAGGGTTTTGTTTTTGGTGAAATCACAATTATTAGGCCCATGATACATTCACAAGTGGTTAGGATCTCTCTTGTGTTCTCAATTTGTTCACAGGTCAATCAAATGGATTTTGATATAAATCAGTTGGTTGATATGATGTTGTCTAATCTGATTTTGTTGGTGTTATATTTTTGAATCACAGGCAGTATAATGTCCAGTTCCTGGATGAGTCTGCAGGTTCCTCCGAGGAATCAATCTATCAGTGTTTTCAAATTAAATCATAAGATTTCCATTTTTTTCATTTCCTCCTTTTTAGGGAAAATTAAAAACAAATTAATTATTTCAGTTCGAAAAAAAAAATCTAAAAAAATATTTATGAAGTGTATGTGAACAAGAAATTACAACGGAAGGTTTAAATATTAAAATTATTTAATATATAAATGTATGCCATTTCTCTCCAGCATGCTCAAGACATTAGAGAGGTACCAGAAGTGTAACTATGGAGCTCCAGAAACAAATATATCGTCAAGGGAGGCTCTGGTAATTAAGTATTCTCAACTCACTATTTCCTCTAGTATGATTTCTTTTTTGTGGGAATGCAATAAGAAAAATCTGTTCCACTAATTTCATAGTAAAAATAATATCATACTCTGATCTATGAGTGCTGATTAAGCTTTAAAAACCAACACTTTAGAAAATCTATAAAAGAATTGTTGTTGCGTTATTTTAGTCAGAAGGGGATTATTAAACATATCAAAATTATGTCTAATATAATTTAAAAAAGAAAACATATAAAACTGCACTTAAGAGGAATTGATCATGCTTGTGCTTCTTTTTCAAAAACAGTAAAATCAGAATCAGTTTTTCAGAAACTGGTATTTGTCATAAAAAAACGGTTTCTATGAGTAATTTCGAGCACTTGAAATTACTTCTGCACTTCCACTTAAACACTTCAATATCTATTTATATTCCTTCGTGTTTCAAGAATCAAATCTAGACACTCCCTAAATTGTGACTCCTCCGCTCAGCGAGACCTTGTTTGGTAACCGGTAATTAGAGAGAACCGTGACTTGAAAGGTAGAAATTCATCAAATTCCCTTGAATTAAAAAAAACATTCTCGATGTTTTTCTAAAATATTATTAAAATGAAATTTAAACAAAAAAAAATGACTATATTTTTTTGAGAAATATATTAAAATGAAATTTATATACATGAATATGACTAAAAGTATTGTGAGTATACTCGTATAATCACTACAATATAAAATTGGTGCTAGTCATACTTACTAGAAGTTACTCCGTACTAAATCACATTTTTGTCAAATAACATTTTTAGACAGGTATTATCCATTATTTCTAGTGATGACAGTTCAAAAAAGAACTACTCCCTTTGTTCCATATTCATTTTTCATTTTTTCTCTTAAATTAAATCAAGTGCAAATAATATTTGGGAGGTTATATTATTGAGACATATAGAGTAGTAAATAATGTTTAGTCTGATTTGAAGAAGAGAACATAATAATCAATCGTATTTATGTAAACATGATATAAACTATTAAACTCTATATATGTTTTCAGTGATCAAAGGGTCTTTACTTTTTGTACTCTTAATTTGTTCCAAAGTCGAGTCTTACACCATTTTTGGTAATAAGCTGATTTGGGAGAACTACAACCAATGATGTAACCGGGAGGTCACATTTGGCTGGATCAGTATATAGATTTTTTAGATAACGTTTTAAGACAAATTCTATTTAGGGATAATTATAAAAATGTACTTGTACTGTGGTTGAACACATTTCCAAATAGGAGTATGTGATTCATTTTTTCATAGAGTAGTTTGTGTTTTCAATTTGAGGCTCTCTGTCTTAACGTCCTAAAAAAAGAAGGCGATGTGGATGTTTAAAAAGTGATACATCACTTTTTTATACACGGAGTACATGTAGACGGAGGCTCTATTAGTGCTAACGAATTGAAAACACATGCTCGATTTTGTGAGAAAATGAATCCCAAACCACATTTTAAAACAAAATCACAATACATTTTATACATAAAATCAATATTTTTATAAAATTTGGGATGGGTTAGGACCATTGACCTTCTAACTATATGCACACTTCACTACAAATATATCCAAATTAAATGAATCCATGTATGTGATGATGGAGTACTAAGATACAATGAAGATGTTTGTATATCTCAATGGAGTGATTCTATTTCTAGGTATATTGATAATATACTCGGAGAAGTCATGAGAAAATTATGACCAAAATGAAAATAATAGATAAAAGAGATGATGTATAGTGCCCAATACTCCAACACAAGTAAATGAGTAATACGGAGTAGTATTTTCACAATAACCTCATTGATCATTTCGGTATTTCACTTTATAGTATGATGACAGTAAATGCGGTGATATGTTTCATGCATTGACCATGAAGGTAATCATGTCGTTATGACGTTATGATCCATAAGATTCGTATTAATAAGACTACGTATGATAATGAAATTCATATTTAATCAAGAAAAAAATTAAATGAATTTGAAACTGAATAGAAGTAAAAGTATGTAATATTATTATGTTCTTAAATAGTATTCCTTGATTCCCATATATTTATCCTATTTTACCATCTTCATCCTTTTTTTTAATCGAGGGGGGTCTAGGGGAGGGGGCTGGGGGAAGTCTAGAGTAATCAGGGCTGAAACTCACTCTATTGAGTTTCCAACCCTTGTCTGCCTAACGAGATTCGAACTCAAGACCTCCCACTAGGCATGATAACCTCACAACCAGCTGGGCTGGAATGTTTGGTTTTTACCATCTTCATCCATCTCATTAAGTTTACCTCATACTCCGTATCATATTCGATAATATTTGGACAATTGTAATTTATTTTGATTATTTTATTCAGACTATAAATTCATTGCAAATAATATGTAACGTAGTATAATTTTACTTTTCTTAATTATTGTATCACTTCTTGTTCCAATCTTAGGGGCGGAAGTAGTAGTAGGATTACATATTTTTCTAAATATGAGTGATTGCTTGACAGTATTGTTATATTGTGGAGTTAATATCTGATTATAATAAAATGTGATAGTATGATTTCAAGATTTTTTTTTGAAAAAAACAATTAAGCAAACATATTGTCAAACTTTCAATTGGAAATGTCCATAAGATGATAAGAAGCTATCTATTTATTACTATCCCCTATAAATTGTCATGTCCAAATTTTTGGGGTAGGAGAATCCATGTACTCGTACAAGTCTTGTTTAGATCAATTAAGTACAATTCGTTCAATGACAATGTCGAGGACGTTGTTCTTAAGTCCAAGAGGTATTAGAGCTAATCCACTGTAAAAACACAGACTACAAGAAATCTTACAAAACTTTGAAAAGTAAACAAAAGGTCACATTCTGAAAATTTCATCGAAGTTACAAAGCACTTCGCTAAACTTTTGTCTCTACTGTGAGAAGCGCAGAATAATTAAATGCTATATACATTCTTAGATATATGCTTGTATTGTCGTGTCAAGTTTATAAATGGTTATTACCCCAAATATGACGGCCACCGCATCCTATTGTTCAAATAACTTACATGAAGTGATCATATTGCGTGATATAATATCAGAAGTCCTGTGTACATACTTGGTCTCGGAGGATTTTGGAGGGAGTGGAGGGGAAGGGGAAGCTTAAAACCCATTTGTTTTTTTGTGGAAGTTCTTCAAATTGGAAGAAATGGTTTTAGAAATGTATCTAAGTCAAAACCATTCAAACATTCATTCTTTGTTTCCCTCAAAAAGAGAGGTTTTGGAAGGTTTTGAAATATATACTTAATGGTGCATTAGGATGTTTTTTGGGACATTTTTCAGTCTCAGATCAAACCAGATCAGACTTCCGTAGTTATAAAATACACAAAGATCAGACATTTGTCAGACCAGATCAGGCCAGCAAATTCTAGTCCAAAAGAAAACATCCTTAGACATAACTTACACATCTCCTCCTATCGTTGTGCCCCTGAATAGAAAGTTCTAGATAAACCCTAATTTTGATCCGATTCAATACACATAATCCAATACTTAAAAATGGGGGCTTGACCTAGTCTAGTCTATTAAGAGGAACCGAAAATGTATCCGGGTTGAGCCAATTTGGGCCAAACGGCCTTAATTCCGGTTCAAATGTTTTAGTAGCCATATTTTGTGAAAAACATTATTGAACTCCATAAATATGAACTCACTTATAAAGTCATAATATATATGCACATATTTGGTTCACCAACAACCATTCATTTTTATAGTGGAACATCCCACTTTAAAATGGATGGTTATTGGAAAGCCATATAATTTCATAAGGAAGTGGAATTTCATAAAATTTCCTATGTTTTGGCTCAATTTAGTTCGAGAAATAGAACCAGATCCACTCATGATGCTCTTGCAACAGAAATCACTTATAATAGTGTTAAATGGGTAATCAAATCATAGAATGAAATCAAAATGACATTGGAAAATTCTCTAAATAGGAGTTAAAAAGTTTTGAAATTCTAAAATAGGACTGTATGTCATATATATCTTTATTTCCTAAATATATATAGGGGTAATTTATGTCAAGTTTGGCATTATCAGGCTTTAAACCTGGCAGAGTTTTCCAAACTTGACAGAAATTACTCATATTTAGGGAATAAAAACCTAAATGTCATATTTTAGAATTTTAAAACGTTTTTATTTCTATTCAGAACAATTTCCATTTGAATAATGGTTATAAAAAAGCATGTATGGGCACTCTCTTGTCTTCCTCTTTCCCTATATGAAGGATTTCATTATTCCCGCACTCTAAACCCTCAAAGCTTTTCCCTCTCCTTCCCACCGAATTCCCAAACATAACCGTGAGATCAGAGTATGGTTTTAGATTTGGTTGCATAGGAAAATAAATATCTGGTCACGCAACAAATTCTTTGGATAATACTACGTATATGATTTGCTTTACTCATCCTATGCCTTATGTGACATAATGTCTATCACGGTTGGGAAGTTTTGTGTTAAAAAGATGGAAGCAAATCGTGTGCTTATTGATCAGAGTACGTATATACATAGATGATAGATCTTGTATCATGTATGTATATCACGGAGTATAATGTATATGGTCTAGTTTGAAAATTCCATGGTACCCACGTAGTAAGAATGCTTGAATTGGCCAGTAGACCTTGCATGCACGTTCTAGTCATTATGTAGATCAGATCTCAATTACTAAGTAATTAACAACTTAACCAGAAAAAATACGATTTTATTGTTGAATTTGATTTGTTTCTTGTACATATATTGTTCAATGCGATTTTATATTTATGAAACTGTAGTTCAAAACCAATGCCACTACAATTAGAAAGTAATGAAATCACTTTTATATTAAATAAAATAAACATATATTTTCAAATTTAACACTATATAGGTCTATTTTTCGGCAACATATCTTTATATATTGATTTGCATATATAAATACCCACTCTGTACAATTTTAAAAATTGCTCACATTAGGAGTAGAATATGTGAATTTTTTTAAAATAGAAGTAGGTGTGTTTTCTTCTCAAAACATGACTTGTTCGATTCCATTAAAAGAATAAAAAGGAAAAAAAAAACTTCTCTATAGAGAAGTACATGATTTCTATTTTGCTAAGAAAATAAATTTACTACTGTGAATCTTTTACCAAGGCTTTACAAAAATGTGAGGCCTTAATCTGTTTTCTAGACCAACTCTAGAATCTTAACTCCCGTATTTACATTAGCATCACCACACTTTTTAATGATACATAGATGTAATCCATTACTTTAAAATTGTAATTTGTTCATTTTTAAATAATAATTAATTTAATTTTAGTGTAGAAAGAGTTCTCGTATACTCTGTGTTCTAATGGGCGTCAAAAGGCGGGCCCAGAGCGCACCTAGGCATGAACCAATGGGAAACATCCGGCATGATAGAAAGACGTGGAAAAAACGATCAATTAAAGAGTTGATCACCAAAGGCGTGAAAATGAGAGAAAGACGAGGTCTAGACGTGAAAAGGCGAAAGTTTCTTAAAAAAATTATTTTCTGCAAAAGAAAGAGTTGATTATATTTAAAAAATCATTTTTATAAACATGTTTTAGTACGTACTACGGATATGGAATCGGATTCAGAGACAGAGTACTAAAAACAATGCGCTATACGAGTATCATTTACATTTGTACTTTTTTATATGCGGTACATTTTAAAATTAGTTATACTTCGTATTAAATAATGTAAAAATTAGGCTTAATCTCGTAAAAAACAAATTGGACATTTATTCTTTTTTTTTATATATCATTATAATATACAGAGTAGTAATGTTCAATAAAAATTTAAAATACATTGTCACGTCTAGGTTTTAGATATTATCGTATATCATTTTAATCTAAAATACATTAATTGAGATTTAGCCTTGAATTAGCGTCTTGTCACGATTGACGCTTCACATTTTTTAGAACACTTATTAAAATTATTTTGTGTGTACCCATATTAATACTTTTAATTTTGTATATATGGTCATAAATGGTTGCAGGAGATTAGTAGTCAGCATGAGTATCTAAAACTGAAAGCAAGATATGAAGCTTTGCAGAGATCACAAAGGTATATTTAATTCAAGAAACTAGACCCTCTCAAATGTTTCACTTTAGCAAGATATGTTGCTTTGCAAGTATATGACCTCTGTATTAGACCTTTAGCCGCAAGATATGTTGCTTTGCAAATATATGACCTTTGTATTAGACCTTTTTTTGAACGCACCTTTTTAGTAGACCTTGTGAAAAAAATTTCTTGTAGTATACAGAGTGCTATTTTAGTTTTTGTGCATATGGAACCCTGGGTTTTAATATAGTATGAGAGTCAAGTTCGATTATGGTGTGACTGATTATTTAACCCTCATGATGAAGCATAGTTTGTTAAGGGTTTTAGCTGGACAATAAAACAATAAAATATTAGACTATTGATGGAGTATATGGCTCAGGGACCCCCGACCCACAGACTCCCACTTCTACACAGGCCCAAATGAGCCCAATGAGCACACAAGGTCCGAACACAGCGGCCCAAGCTTAAAGAAACCCACGGTGCACACATGGGTGCCTTCGGCCTCCTTGGCCGAGGGCTTCAAATCTCACATGACAGCCAGATTTGAGCATACAAATCTACAGCGAGAAAAGTGCAGAAATCAGGACCCTTCGGCCATAGGAGAGCCCTCGACATGAGGGTAGCCTTCGGCTACACAAGGCCTTCGGCCATGAGGGTAGCCTTCGGCCATGAGGGTGGCCTTCGGCCATGAGGGTGGCCTTCGGCCATGAGGGTAGCCTTCGACCATGAGGGTAGCCTTCGGCCATGAAGGTAGCCTTCGGCCATGAAGGTGCCCTCGGCATCAGGGAAGCCTTCGGCTACACAGAGCCCTCGGCTGCGGGGAGAGCCTTCGGCCAACAGCTCAAACATCGAAGATTCCCTTTGGAGACAAGCAACCACCGCATTTAATGCGACGTCACATCCACCCACCGCATTCAATGCGGTGCACATGCGAATGCCAGTGCCACCCAATTGAGGTGACTCCTCGGCCGTCAGATTGTTGACCCGTGTACCTTAATCGCATTTATTACTACTATAAATAGCACCCCCTTTCCCCGTTGTAAAGGACCAGAACATCTCGAGTTCATAAATAATAATCTCCTCTCTCTCCTACTTGCTTGCTCTGACTTCTCTCTAGGTTATTCCATAATAACCCCTCGGATAAGATACCCCCGGGTAGACTATCCATCAACTATAAAACTGTTATTTTTAGATTGACATTTTAGAATGAAACACAAGATCTTAACAACTCCATATAATTTATATATGAAAAGTTTGAGTTTTTGTCACTTTCATTTCACCGGCTGTTGTATAAAATGCCACTTTTGATACTTCACTTATACCATTTTTAATCACTCAAATAATATGAGAGTGAGACTTTAGGTCATCGACTTTGGACTTTTTCACATTTAGTTCTTTAAATATTGTAAAAGTTGCACTTTTGATCTTTCAACTCCTATCATAGTGACATTTTTTGTCCTTCATTTTTTATGAAAAAATAAGATAGAAGAAAAGTTGAAAGTGTCACTTTAATAAAAGTCATGGGGCAAATGTGAAAATTTTCAAATACGGATGCCAATAGTGCCTATATCACAAAAGTTCAAGGACCAAAAGTGAACACATTTAAAGAGGGACCTAAAAGTAAAATGTGTCATGGATGTAGTAATTGATGGACTAAAAGAGGCTAAAACTGGGAAAAATACATTGAGTACTGACTGTTATTCCAAATAATTTAGATCATATTTCAAGAGATACCATGAATTGGAACATTTCAATATAGCTAGGGCACTAATAAAAAAATAGCTAGGGCACTAATTTGCTCCATTAAATACTTGAAGTACCAATTGCATCAATGCCATTTGTGATGGTAGTGTTTGTGCTATTATCCTGCAAAATACATTGCTAATAGTTTCTGGACCATTTGATCCAATAGTGAAATTGGTGTTGATTTTAATCCCTTCATCCTATTAGAAATTATCATTTTTTCCAAAAAAAAAAATGTACTACACAATTTTCAGTAATTGATTTATACTCTGTAGTTCACTAGTTCTTATTTCACTTGCATAGGTACACATTTTTTGTACTTAGACAAACATAAAAGCAAACATTTCTTAACTCCTCAAAGTGTCACTAGATCTGCTGACATCACATCTCTTTATCCCAAAAGCAAGCATGTTGCTTGCTAAGTACCAAATTGGCAACCTAGTTAAGATGAAAGAAAGCTACCTAATCAGAATTTTATTTGTCTTTTCTTTTGCGGTTGAGACAACAGGAATCTTCTAGGGGAAGATCTTGGCCCTTTGAACAGCAAGGATCTTGAATCTCTTGAGAGGCAGCTTGATATGTCACTGAAGCATATCAGATCAACTAGGGTAAGCGGCTGTCCACTCCATAATGATCATTATGATTAGCTTAATCATTAGTGTCTTATAACCCATAAAATTTGGTTAATTTTACTTGTATTTGGAATAATAAAAGAAATACTATGATCTAGATTTGTATATACAAAGAAGAAAGAATATGAACTTCAAATTGTTTCTTTAAAAAGAAATGAAGATTTTCTAGGACCACTAAACAAAGAAAGTTTACAATTTTTAATGGGATGAAGGGGAAATACTTCATTTCAGAATCATGAGCTAGCTTGTCCCGCGCTTTGATCAATCATAAGCTAGCTTGTTTAACTGATAATTGCAAGCACGTGATGATACAAATATTGACGGTTTTCTATTTTTGTGTGTGAATATTTTAATGAAAATGCAGAAAGTTTCGATCAATTGGACTAAAATTGAGACTTCACAAATGTTCGAGATTAAACCGAAACCAACAAAAAGTTGTTCGATAAAGATTAGAATTATCCCTTATAATGAACACCTCGACTTTTTCATTCTTGCAGACTCAACTGATGTTAGATCAACTAACAGAACTGCAGAGGAAGGTATGAACAGGTCTATTATGTTATGTGATGAGATTATGTACTACTCTCCAGTAGTTATCTTCTCCTACAGTTTGTTCTTACAGACTATTCAAATCATTGTCTCTTCAGGAACATGCCCTAAATGAAGCAAACAAGAGCTTGAAACAAAGGGTATGTGTGATGTGTATGAATTACATTGTGGAGATGTTTCTTGAAATGTTTTAAAGCATACGGTTAGGCTAGGAGGCAGGTCCGGATCTAGCAAACGCTCAAGGATTATTAGGTGTTACTGTGTTAGCCAGGATCAAAGTCATCGGGCTCAATCTGCTAATTTCCCGTAGCGAAAAGTGCTTAATACTACGTGTAACAATTATCTCAGCCAAATAAGTTATTTATGACAAATTTCAATTTTCCTTATATGGATAAGCAGAATAAGCCAAAACTAATTGCCAAACAGAGTCCAAGTGGAGAACAGCCCAGGATTCCAATGAGAGTCTAGCATTTAGGAACCTTCTGGGTCTGTTCAACTGGTTTTAACTTATATGTTAAAGCTCCCATGTCATAATGTTAAAGAATGAAATAATAAACCATCTAGGGTTGTTCAACTGAGTTTAACCGAGCGGGTAAATTCAGAGCTCGTGGGATTGTTCAGACCAATGGTCTTGGTTTGAACTAGCAATTCAAATGGATTTAGTTTTGAGTTTGGTTTATCCATGTGCATCATGACCCACTTGAACTACCTAACTAAATCCTCAATTCTATCAATATGCTTATTTTACTAGTTTCTTGATCATAAGTTCATAACTAATGTTTTCAATTTTTGTGTTCAGTTGATGGAAGGAAACCATCTAAATATGCATTGGAATCCAAATGCAGCACAAGAAATGGGAGGGTATGGACGCCAAACAACACATGCTCCACAGGGTGATGTCTTCTTTCATCCCCTGGAGTGTGAGCCAACATTACAGATTGGGTAAAGTCCCAATATGCTTAACCTGCATACTAGTCATCGGATAATCATTCTTCACATTATTATGTGTATTACTATGTCTTATGAGTTTATCCTCAATGTCTAAAGGTATGTTTCGTGCTGAATTCGGTACTAGAGGGGTGTGTTTGGCAAAAGATGCCGCTAATTGTCGGAAGAAGTGGTTAGTTTTGAGTAAAGCGGAACAAATGTAGACTATGGATGTTTTACTTAGGACTGTAATTTGCTGGTCTGGTTAGGTCTGGTCTGGTCTAATCTTGTCTGAACTGGTCTGGTAATATATGGTCTCTTTGTATTTTTTTAACTATCCAAGTCTGAACTGATCTGGTCTGGGATAGATTACCGTCAAAGTAAAAGCATTCATGTTAGAATAATGCCCTACATATGAATTATTGAGCCCTTATTAGTGTTTGAAATGCTCATCTTTGCTTAAACTTATCTTTTACTACCATTTAATCTTATCTTTGCATAACATTTACTCCGTATAACATTATACTATAGTACATAGTAATGTATAACCATAGCCATAATTTGAATCTGGTTGTGAGTTATGTGTATGACTAACAAATACACCTTATCTGGGACAGAGAAGGCGAGTACAGTTCTTGTGGAAAAATTCTTTATACATGTAATATACTACTACGTAGTATGCATATATCTTTGTTTGGGTACTAAGTTGTTGCGGCCCTATGTACTCAGGTACCCAACTGATCCAGTAACAGTAGGAGCAGCAGGTCCTACTTTGAATAACTATATGCCTGGGTGGTTTCCATGACTGTATGAATATATATATTTATATATATAATGCTGCTTCATGATTTGAAGTTTCATATCGACCAGATGCTTCTGAAAAATCAACTGAATGGTGCCCTTTTGTAAGTTTGACGATAAAAAGGGCATAACTGTCTTTCTGCATCTCTGCATAACTGTGTTGTAAAAAAGTGCCTTTTGTTTCTCTGCTTTAATGTTTAATAATTTGAATGTGAGTTTAATGCACAAGATGCTTACTTCTGTTCGAATATTCCAATTCCCCAAAATATTTTAGAATTTGTTTGGTAACACCATAATTGGCTGAATTGGCTGATTCTACTGAAATGAAGTTGTAGCTAAAGCGGCTGAATTGACTGATTCTGCTAATTTATGAAAAGATTATATTTAAAATATTTTTTATCGATAAAATAAAGAAAAATCATATGAAAATAGACAACATGATAATCTACAATAACTTCAGTCAATACAATCAGAAAAATAATTTTAGCCTTACTTTTTCTTATTGTTAAACAATTCACCATGCATGCAAAATTAAAAATTACATGTTTAATGAAAAAATTGGCTGATAAACCTAACAAGTCGTAAAGTATGGTCACCAAATGAGTTCTTAAAATAAACTAGAGGCCTAAGGGCAGAATTTGAAAGTTGATCATAACTTTGTTATTATTTGTTTAATTTGACCTCCCAAATCTAGTAGAGCTTGTCCACCTTGCAAATCATTAATGTACCGTTAAATCCTGATATTTTAGGGTAGTACCGCGATATGATTGGCAGAATCCGAATGACAGTGTTGGAGGGCCAATATGAGATTAATTTAATTTTTGGAGATATATATTTATTTTCATGCATATATATATAATTAATTAATTAATTTTTTTATGGGGAGATCACGGCTTCTCCCATCTCTCGAGATTCGCCCTTTCAAAATACTAGTATAATGTATTATTAACAAACAATTTCTTTTTTACATTGTTTCTTTTCTTTTTTTGAGACAAGTCTATCTTAAAAGTAACTACACTACACTTTTATAAAGTATACTCCGAATAATATTATTACAATACAATATAAGCGTATTACTTTTTATAAAGTGTACAGTAAAACTATAACATTTTTAAACCAAGTAAAAAATCAAATGGAACACATATTCTGATGCAGAGGAAGTACGAGTAAACTTCTGGAGAGTACGAGTAAACTTCTACCTAACTATGAATCTGTGGATCGTTGCGCTTACCGCTACACTAAAAGCAATCGTTGATAGTGTAGCACGCCCTTCCCCTTTTTATAGAACAGGCAAAGCGCCACGCGGTTCGATTGCACCGGCAGGCTGGCAGATTGCTGACCGCAGACCCGCGGCAGGCCCAACAATCTCCCCCCCCAGCACCTGCCAGCCTACAACTGAGCAGCATGCTGTTGCCGGGGGTCGAACCCGTGACCTTTGGCTCTGATACCAATTGTGGATCGTTGCGCTTACCGCTACACTAAAAGCAATCGCTGATAGTGTAGCACGCCCTTCCCCTTTTTATAGAACAGGCAAAGCGCCACGCGGTTCGATTGCACCGGCAGGCTGGCAGATTGCTGACCGCAGACCCGCGGCAGGCCCAACAGAATCTATTGATACATGAAGGCATTTGGAGTTGATCTCTGTGCAAATGATCATACATGGTTAAACCATACAATGTACTCGCTTCGAAGTTCCAATACTAGCTTATTCAACATTGATTTAACAGTAGTAGTAAATATTTTAGCTTGACATTACTAATAGGTTATTTTCAATTATAGTGTTACTAAACTCAAATATTTATTTAGCTAATATAAAAATAGTGGTTTATAGGGTTTGAGAGCTCCCTCGCTGGGCAACAAGTCCATTGAGAGCTCTTTTGTTGTTGCAACTACCAAGTCAATCATATTTTAAAGTTGCTATCATTATTGATCATCGGGCATATTACGGGTGGTGTGGAAAGTGGTAAGATACCTTGTATGAGCGATCATGTATTCCCTAAAATACATTTCCCCATAACATTATATATCTATAAATACATTATATTGCCTCACTTAACATTGAACTCATACCATCCATTTTCTATTGATGTTGTAAACATAACTTTTTACTAAAGGTAGAAAATTTATCACGAGTTAATCTTGTAAGTTATCTCAAACACTTGATGAATATGATGACAAAAGATGTTCTTCCACTGTCATGGTAAGAGAATGGTTATGATGGGTCAAACTTTGCAATGAGCTCTAAGAGAATGGGAATGGAACCAACAAGATATTTGAGCATAAAATCTTTTTGAACTAAATCTTGATAAATGTGACGAATACTGCAAGTACCATATGTACATGGTAGAGTCAATATGTAATTATCATTTTCATCGCAAAGATCTTTGAACATATTATAGTAAGCAATGATAGATTGAGTGTCGTGAGAGATGTTACTAAGAGTTTTTCAAGATGGAAAACATGTGATCCATCACTTTTTCCATATTTAAGTTTGATTTCGTCCCAAAATCTTTTTCACTTGTTAAATACAATGAGGTATTGCGATTACAGGTGAAGTGGAGTATACCGATCATGAACTATAAAGAGCCATATGTAGAAGGCTGCATGAGGGATGAATCCATCGAAAAACATCATCTTGTTCTTCACTGTGAATGCCATGATTATCGAAATCCTCCAAGCATTCAAGTTGTTTCCATTGAACGTCTTGTATACCATATTGGGGTACAGATTTGTTGGGTTAATGGCCCAATACTGGAAATTGGCCCATTACCCCCTCCGCGGATGAATGTCTAGGCCTAACAGGGAAGAGGGTCCAGACGAACGTTTCCGGCGAACTGGTGGCAATTATCCGTCAGGGCCCAAGGCAGCTACGACGTACGTCTCCGAAGGGTCCTCAGCTCAAGGAGTCCTAGCCCAAGGTTAGCCAGCGTAATCCTACACCAACAGCCAAAAGACGCACGACCCTCTAGCCCATGGGGCATCATCAAGAATAGGCCCAAGGTCCACGGGGACGCTCGTCCCCAGAGATTTGGCGGCCTACCAAGATTCTGACAGAAAGCGCATTTAATGCTGGAGATTTGGTGGTTGAGGTGCATTTAATGCTGGAGATTTGGGAGCTGAGACTCCAACCAACCACAACTCTCCACATCAGCATATTCAACTACCACGTGGTAGTATAAATAGTAACATTTATTTCATTGTAAAAGGTCAGCAACTTACCCGCCTTAGCATTCTTATAGTTTATAGCAGTGTTCGCAGCTCTTCTACTTGTGAAGCAGACGAACGGCCGTTGGCCAGGTAGCATTAGTGCAGTGTAACAAGTCCTTATTATTTCTTAATCATACTCGGCCCACTATTGCAGATACTTCTAAGCTCATCTTACTTGCTAATACCCAATATTCACACTCACTCACCGCTCAAAACCCATAGGTTACGTGTTAGGCCTACGGGTTGAAGGAATAAAGCTCAACAAAATTTGTATGGAAGATGAGCGAGAACGAATAAAGTCATGAAGGAAGAAAAGGAATCTCAATTAGCAAATTAGGGATTTTAGTGAATGAATTTGTACTCATCTATTCTCATTAAACTCCTTTTATCTATATAAAATAAGGAGGAGTCTTATTTTACACTAAGGAATTATAAATTGACCTTATAACAAGTGATTATAGAGATAGAGTTAGTAGCCTTATTATAAGACAAAAATATTTCTCTAAGAGTTCTCATTGACAAAAATATGTCTGTTTTTTAATTATGTTGGACAAAATGTGATTACATGACATTTAATGCTCAAACATAAATAATAGGCTAACTTAAATAACAACCCTGCAACCCACAGTCAAACCTCATACACAAGCACAAGCATATGGAATATCTCAAGCAGCATGTCATGCAGGAGCACAACACCAGATCTGCCGCCGCTGGCCACCAGCTGCCGCACACATCCCGTTGTCGTCGCCCAATTGCCACTCACTAACCGCTGCTTGTGGTGATGCAGTATCACGCGCCCCTCCCCATCGTGAATCCGGCCCCTTTTGATCGTCTTCTCTTTCTATTGTGTGCGACTGAGATTGACAACATCAGTGACGAACCCAACGACTATGGAGACGATAAGTGTTGAAGAGGACGAACGAATGAGATAGTAGTTGAGTGAGGCTAGGGGAGGGATTGGGGTAAGAACGTGTTTGTTAGGGTAGGGGGCTGGTGGCTGGGGCTAGGAAGGCTAGGGAGGTGCTGGGGTAATTCTGCACTTCTGTGGGGTTGATGTTGGAGTAGGGCGGGGCAGGGTTGGTGTTGGGGGCAAGGTACTGGTGGGACTGGTCTCTATGGCAATTGGTGTGCGACTGGTGGTGGCAATTCGGCTGTTTGGTGAGTCGTGGTATGCGGGGTAGTCTAGGACTTTTGGGTTAGTCACTGGAGTGTTGGCTTGAAGTTACTGAATACAATTCACTAGAATTGAGTCACTAAAGTGAAATTCAGTGACTTGTGTGACACCACACCCGAACGTCCTTGAAAACTTGATTTTAAAATTCAAAGTTTATGTATTGGATTTCTGATTCCCAAACGATTGTAAAATGATTAATGTTTTACGTAATTAATGATCGATTATTATACTGTTCGAACTCGTATATAAGTATCGGGCCTTATTAATAAATAAAAGAGCCTAACATTATCTAAATATTAATACATAACGTTTCAAGACAAGTTGAGGAAGGGCGGGCGGCCCAGATATTATTTTGGGCTCAACCCGCTAGAATAGCAAGTATTCGAGAATGGCGTCGTAGGCCCACTCGGGGGCGACCCACACGGCTTGTAGCCTAATAATATGAATGGCAAATGTCAAAATAAGTGATAGGATGATTTGAGAAGAATACAAATGCCTATAACCCCATCTTTGGCATTATTGAGCTAAATAATGGGAGTAGGGTTTTTCTTCTATAATATTCATCATGTAAATTATTGGGATGATCATACACATATTGGAGATCAATAATATGATGTAGAGAGTTGACTTGTTCCAAATAAATTAGAATGAGTACAAAGAGACATCTTATGACAAAGAGATCAAAAGTGAGACCCACCCATGTCTAAAAACATCTCATGGAGACCATACCAATTCATTTCACTCCACACAACTTATCCACCCTTATTGAAGGGTCTTGGACACTCCCTTAAGCCCCTCATTCGAACTCCCAAGGATAAGGGAGAAAGAGAGAGCCACACAACCAAGAAAGCAAGAGGAAGGGGAAGCTGCCGCAGGTTCGTTTTCCAGTGCGTAAGGTTACTTGTTTGCTTCATATCTCGAGTTATACACATCCAAATAAGGCGTGCGAGATACCCACA